TTTCAATTCATCAACTCCAAGCTTCTCCGATCCCTTCAAGAATGTAGATCTAATCAATTAATTTAATCGTTCAACATTCAAGACCCCCAAGTTAAACTCAATATAATACATTAGTTCAATTCTTCCCTCTTATCTCCATGAATTCGAGTCCCATGAACCAATCAAGCTTATATATTTATTTACGTGTATCCTGTTTCTAAAACCAACCCACCCAACACCAATGCAACAGAAAGCCAAAATTACAGTTCCCAACTTTGGTTACTCTTGGCTAGCATCAGTATACCGCACTAAGAAAAATAAACAACATGCAATCCAACAAGCTCACTCCATAAACACAACCCGTAATCATCCTAAACCAGCAACTTATTCCCCTGTTCGGCCAGCAACGAAACAGAGCAAAGAATTTGAAACTCAAACTTGCAGAAATTTCAACCTCTGTTCGGCCAACCCAAAACAGAAGTATCTAACATCATGCAATGACTGCGACTTTGGAGCTCAGACTTGTGGCGACTTGTGATGACTTGCGATGACTGCCATTTTGGAGCTCAGACCCTTAGACTTGCGAGCTCAAACGGTTCAGGGACACTGGAGATTAGACTTGCGATGAGGTTGAGGGAAACAGGAGATCAGACTTGCGATGACTGCGATTTTGGAGCTCTACCGAACAAGGAGCTCTGCTGGAGACCGTTGTGCCGTCAATGACGCTAGGGAGCAGGTATTTTGGAGGAGGTGAGCTGCTGTGCAAGCCAGAGGAACGAGGAATCAGACTCAGGGGAGGGAAATGGGGGGAATTCGACGGGAAAGGAAATCAGAAAAGGAAGAAGGATTTTTTTTTAATAATTAAAACGACGTCGTTTTGGGGTTTTGACAGATTAAAAAAAAGGGGAACCGGGTAACATAGTCAACCGGGATTATCCGGTTCTATACCGGTTCAACCGGTTTTTTATCGGTTTGATTGTCCCTTGGTCTAGCTACTAAGCCGGACCAGACTGCAAACCGGTTCACCGGTTTTCGGGTCGAACCGGCCGGTCCGGTCCATTTTTTTTTCTTGATAAAACCCCAAACAAAAACAAGACAAAAACAGTTGTTTTTGGGCCAGCAAAAGGCAAGATGCAATGTACTCGGGAGGCATGAATGGGAAAGGAGTCTTTGGATTTTCAGGGCGAAATTACTGTGAAATAACACTTTTAGAGTATATTCGAGTAAAAAGAAACTTTTACATGTTTGACATCGTTAGGCATATTTTAAGACCTTATCTCATTAAAATATAAATAGTGTATATTTCATGTTTTATAAAATAAATTTTTTATTATTGTCTTCATTTATCTTGGCTAAAATTTAGTAGTTCAATTTTAGTTTTCAAAAAATTTTAACATTTTGTCCTTAATTTATAAAATATAAAATATGGAGAGTTCAAATTTCAATGTCATGGTTTAAATAAGAAATGGATAGAAATGAAAGGGAAGGGAAATGAAGAGACCGCCTAAGGAATAATTCATAAATAGTTAAGTACCACAAAGGAAAACAATATGCGTTTTCTTGCGGATATATTCTCATAGATTAAAAAAGGAAAATTCCAAATGACCAAATAGCAAAAAAAACTGCTTGTTTTTCATGAAATTTGTTTGAGAGAAACTGCTGTTTTGGCGTAGTGAAGGGTCGAGGCATGTGGCTTGACATCTATTTTCAGCTTTTAATTGTTACTTATTCCCTTTTTTAGTCGGGAAATTGTTATTTATTTTTTTAATTAGAGATAATAATAAGGGTTGGATCCACACAAAAAATGACAAGTTTGAGTTAGCAAAATGTCAACTCGCCAAGTGCTAGCTATTTTACCTTGTATCGCTTTAAGCCCACTTCACCACGGGCCAACCCACTTTTTTATTTATTTTAAATTTATAAACTAGTCATCACATCACATTATCCCAACCCACTAGTTCCGCTACCCAAGTTTAACCCTATACATTTTTTATATTAGGGCGTTTCTATTTCAATGCTATTTTAGTTCTCTATGTTGAATGTTAATTTTTTTTTTTTACCATAAACTGAGCCTTCATTACTTTGATCATGAAATTAATTACAGGCATTGACCAAAAATAACGCACTGCAAATACGACCTTCGATTCTTAATATAATAGCTTGTCTGACTTCTATTTTAGTTTTAAATATAATATCTCAATCCACTTTGTATCTCATATTTATCTATTTTTTAAAAATATTTCTTGTAATAATGATAGTTTTAACTAAAATACTTGGTTAGCAAGAATATTTTAGAAAAGACAATACTTATTTATTACAAATAACTAACATAACTAATTTTTTTAATTTATTCAAATTAGTTAACTAGCTCTTATATTAAGAACTTATACTATTTACTTTACTACATTCGTGATTACAATTAGGTGGTTATATAAAAATGAAATTGATAACATATTATTAACAGTTTGGGTACATTTTCAAAATAAGTTATCCTCATTATTTTAACTCAATGCCTATAATTAGTTCTCATCCTCATTTTTTTTTACTATACAATTGTTTTTATGAATTTATTTGAGTTCTTGTTTTGAAAAACTTATTTGAAAATATTTTTTGATTATATGTTCTAAAAATTTTAAAAAATGAAAAGTTGTTCTAAAAGAATATCTTTTTGATGTTTTGTTATTTTTTTCTCAAAATTAGAAAAAAAGAATATTACATTTTTTTGTCAAAAAGCTGGCTGACTGGCGCGAGTTACTCCAACCAGCACCACGATGGGCTAACCCGTATCCGTACCACTAACCCGCTTTACCAACTCTACCTTTTTTGGCCATCTCTATCCTTGATTTATACTGCTACCTCCTGTTCTAACTATAAAACCTTATTTGTAGTCTACAAACAAAATTTTATATTTAGGATCGAAGATAGTATTAATTTATTATTTATGGCAACAATATGATTAGGAGATAAACTTAAAAAGTATAATATGATACGTCAGAGTTTTGGGCTGAAGCCCAATAGATGCAAAACATACAGTATAGGGCCCAATAATTAACATTTGATTAGACGAAAGCCCAATAAAGTCAATGACTGAACCTGTAGGGGTTTTTTTTTTTTTTTTGGGACCAGATCTGTAGAGCTTCGCTTTAGTACTAAGAAGAGGGCTAAGCGTGAATGAGTGATGATACGCAAATATCAACTTTACTTTAACGGTATACCCGCCCCCCCGGGGGGGGGGGACCTTTATTTTAACGTTTAAGTGAGGCAAATTACAAAGCGTGGGAGAGTGAACATTTAACTTGTGTTTAGAGTTTTTCTTTTTAAAGGAACTTTCAACATGTATTTTGATTAATATGGTTTCTTAATATATAAATTTGGAATTACTATCATTTTGATTATAATTCGGTGCCACGTAGGAATTTTAAACATAATTTCATCAATTCAACAACCGATATATTGATAGTGAAATAATTCCTGTTTGTTTAGACTTTGTGGACCCACACTTCTTTTATTTTTGTTCATCTAATATTGCATCCAGTAAATTTATAGCAAAAATTGCGATTCCTTTTTTGGGATGAAATAAATATAAAAAGAAAAGTTACAAGACCAATAATTTTTTTGGGGAAACATCGTTACAAGAAAAAATGTTAAGTAAGGGGAAAAAATAAGTATTCGATTTATTTAGTTATTTATAAGCAAGGTGTGTGATGAACTTATTATTTTTGTGCTTTTGTTGGATTTCAATCCTCTTTAAGCGTCATGGCCTCTTAAATAGAATGAAGAGATTATCAATCTTTTATTTTTATTTTTTAAAGAGTCAACCCGTGCTAAATAATATGTGTTGATGCTGGCAGGTTGCTCATGTGACTTGTGGGTCAATTTTTTTTTTTTTTTTTTACGTTGGGTTATATTTAATTATCTTGTAATAAAAACAAAAGCGCTCAATTATTTCATAATAAATCAAAAGGTGAAGATACATTTAGCACTTCAAAGTATTTTTTTAGATGTATTTAGTACCCACAGGTATTTTGTGGTACATTTGACGCCTCAAAATATTTTTTTAGATATATCTAGCACTCTAAATTGTCTTTTCCCTTGGTGCTGGATGCAGCAAAAAATATTTTTAGATGTTAGACATACCTAAAAAATATTTTGATATGTTAGATACACCGAAAAATACTTCATAGTACTGCATGCACATAAAAAAAAATACTTTAAGATGTTGGATGCACCATACAATACTTTAAAATACTGGACGCATCTAAGAAAATATTTCAAGATGGTAGATATCCCTTAACCGTAAATCAAATGATGAAATTTGTTAGACATAAGGTAAGTTATCATAATTTTTATTGTTTAAATAATAACAAATAATTCTGAATATAAATTTACAAAATATTACAGTACTCTTAAGCAATGAATAATGTTACTCATTTTTTAAAATTATGTAAAGCATAAGGGGCATTTAATTTTTAAATCATAGATAAATAACCTAAGACATGATTCGTTAGAGGGAAAAAGTTCCTGGTGCAGTAGGTAGAAATATTTAGATTTAAGTTGGAAAAAAAGAAATATTTATATTTAAACAAAGAAAATGAAAAAATGAATTATATAATGCTTGTTTATTTAATTTATTTAACTTTTTAATGGATGAATATCAGTATAAATAATCAATAAATTCGGGCAAGAAATAAAGAATAAATAATATCTATATAAGTTTTTATTTCTGGCCAAGAAGTAATAGTAACAAATCAACAACAAGTATCGAAGTAATTATTAGCAAAATTGGGAAACATTTAAAACAAGAATAACGCACATTTCCATTTAAGACTAATCAAATCGGCACAAAGAGGAGAAGCGTGTGCCATATCCATTCCCTCGCTCCCGTTGGTTCAAATTTTAAAAACGACCCCTCACCTCAATTCAGCTCACACAATAGACAATACACACACAACACTCTCTCTCTCTTTTCCTCTGATTCTCTTTCTCTCTCAAATTTTTTCAATTTCAAACCCAAAATTAGGAAGAAAAAAAAAAAAGTGGAAAAGGTTTGATTTGAGGTTTTGAAGACGAAACCTCCTCTTCCTCAATCTTCCCTGATATGCTCATTCTCTTCAGGTTCGTACTCCGTTTCCTCTACCGATCATTTTCGAAAGCCATGGGTTGCTTCTTTGGTTGTTTCAGGATCAGAGAAGACCGACGCCTCCCTACTTCTCAGCTTGTTGCCGATCGTTCCCGTTCCAAATCTGCTGTAATGTTCTAGAACTTTGTTTCGTAACGCCAAGAATCGTCGACTCTGTTTTTTCTGTCTTTCTTTTGTTATTCATTTGTAATCTCTAATCTCTAATTTGTGTTGTGTATTTGCTAAAGAAGGGGAAGAAGTTTTTCTTGATAGGCGTTGTGATTCCTTTTTTCTCGCTGTTTTTTTTTGGGTATCTTTGAGAAAATTGCTAAACAATCGAAGTCGCGTAGAGTTTTTACTAATTTGCTGGTTTTAAAGCAGGATGCCTTGGTATCTCGAAATCGTCTATCGTCATTGTTTTTATCCGAAGGTATCTCTCTTCTCACTGCTATCTATTTCATTGTTATAATTACCTTTCCGGACCTTTTTCTCTCTTCCAGCGTGCGTACTTTTTATTTTTGGCCTTTAAAAAACTCTTGTACAGAGAAAGAAGATTCTCCACGCGATGAGACGGTAAAAGTAGGTTTGGGATCTCAGATGGATGACAAGGCGCTCAAGGATGAGGTACTTTCTATCCAATGATGAAAGTTTGTCTTGTCCTACAAGATAACTTGTATCGAATTTTCCATTTTGGTTTGTAATTTTACTCGTTGGAGCATTTTACTTCAATTGTTAATCGTCCTTAGCGAAGCGTCTCTTTTATCTCCTGACCTGTGATTTCTCTTTCATGCTACCAGATTTTATACGTGGGTGACTCTAATAAGTTGGAGTGCACTAATTTTTTAGTTTTTGTTTCTCTCTGCTGTTCTGTTCGCGAGTGGAGCTACTGAGAATAATGTCATGGATGCCTATTGAGTATGAGAAAAATACAGCAAACTAGTTTTCATGTTACGAATCAGGATTTTCTACCATCTTCGTCTACTCTTGACTTTTAATCCATAATTTTTTTCTAGTTTCTTAATGCATTTAGAACTGCCATTCTGTTCTTAACACGCCTTTTGAGTTGTGTAGTTCTTAGAAGTCGTCTTGGCTTTACTGAATCGTTTGTGTTAAAACTGATTCTCTCGTTCTTCCTTACTAATTCAGCTTGTTAGTTTCTTACAATCATGAATCGACTGGTTAGTTCTTCCATGTCAGCTTCTATATTTGTTCCAAAGTAGAGATGCCCTCACTCATTCAATGCCATTTTTCATTTTGTCGGAACATCCATTATCTGTACATGAATTTCAAGACTAGGAATCTGAAAAATGTTTTGAGAGACACAATAACTTGTTATTGAGTAAGCTATTAAGTTTTCTTATAACCTAAGTTGTTACATGTGGCTTTCTTTAAATGTGCCCGCAATCTTGGAAGCTGATATTTTTGCGTGAGTTCCACATAGGTATATCTACTCCATTTACGTATTGTTACTTTACCATTGCTTATCTGCTTAAGTGAATCAAAATTTTTCTCCAGGCTAAGTTTCTTAAAGCATGCGGTACGTTAGCCGGGACCCCTGCTGAAATCCGGAAAGCATCTGGGAAACTGAAATCGTCACCTTCTTGTAGCAAGGAATCTGAATCTTCACGGTTTCATTCTTGGCTTCCTAATGCTCCTGTCGTGAAGCTCCAGATGGATGCTCAGCCTTTTGATCCCCCAACTCCCATAAAACCGGGTGAAGAATGGCGAGATGGCAGGGATTCTTTAGACCGCACTCCAAGCAGGTTGAACATCTCTCTGTCTTGGCCCTCTGCCTTTTGTTACGTTTTTCATTTTTGCCTGATAATGATTGATAATGACTGTTAAAAAGTAGGTTGTAGTCTTTTTTTTTTTTAATAGAATATTGTATCTTCCTTTGCACGCCAGCTGATTCGATAGATTTTGAAGATGAATGTGTTAGGAATTGGCCGTGGTTTATCACGATCGCAAAGAATCTACGAGGATATTACTCCTTAAAGGCTGTCCCTGAAGAAAAAATTCCGAAGCTGGTCCCCCCTCCCCCGCCTTTTCATGTTTTTGTGGAGTCGTGTTCTTATGGAAGACATACTTTGGTTATACCTTGTCCTTCCCTAAAAGTTACATAGCTCATGATCGCATGATAATGATAAATTTATTAATCTTGCAGCTGTATCTCCAATGCACAATACACCGAAAGTGACTCTGTTGACTCAGCTGAAGGAAGTGGAGCAAGAATCCTTTATTCTGTCGGCCAGACTTGTGATAATCGATCTGAAAAAAGTGCAGCTTCAGTTTCGCCTTGGCCAACGGTGGCAGACATTCAGAGGAAGAACAAGTCTGTACGTTTTGAATGCGATGCTGATTCTTCCTGTGGGAGTTCTTCTGAATATGGTGGAGGTCATACGAAGAAATCAGGGTCACCAAACAATCAGAGTGCACACAAACCATCACCTTATGCAACCCCAAGGAAACTATCTGATGAAATGCAAACACCTGGAACCGTGTACCCTGCAACTATAGAAGATTTTCCTAATGGCAAGCCTCGGGTTAGGTCCCAGTTTGTGTATTCATTTCACGGAACAAGTGAGAACGTCTCTCGGTGCAAAGTGCTTGAGGAAGAAGATTTAAACTCTGAGCAAGATTCAAGTGATATGAGATCTCATGAGCCGCCTCAAAATGCAACTCCAACAACAGAGCAGTCAAAGCAACACTCATCTGAAAATGAATCTAAAGTGGAAGAAAGTTTATCTGCTTGGTTGAAGCCGGCAGCAGTCATTGAGGAAGAGAGAAGGAAGAGAATGGAGGCAGCTTATAGTCAAATTCCTAATTCTCGTAAAACTCCTGCAGATAGGCCTATCATTGGGATGGTTGCAGCTCACTGGAACGAAGAAGAGGAATCTGATGTTCCTCCCCCAAAGTGGTGGGATGGCAAGGGCATACCAAATTCAACGAACAAGTACAAGGAAGTATGTCTTCTATATCTTTATTTGTGATGCAAGAATTCGAAATCCAAAATACTGAAATTAATGAAGGGGGATTGTTTTCCAGGATCAGAAAGTAAGTTGGCATGCAACACCCTTTGAAGAGAGGTTGGAGAAGGCGCTGTCTGAGGACAGCGTTGTGCCTCAAAGGTATGCTATGCCTCTAAACTATCTGTTGTTTTTCAAATTATGCTATGAATGGTTAGTTAGTAATAGACCACAAGGGTATCACATAACCGACCTCACTTAGTGTAACGACTTGATCAGGATCCTGCTTGAATTCAAATCATTTTTTATGGAGGGAAACATGGAAACTTGAACTCTGGGAATCCGTGAAAATTAAGAATTATAACAATTGTATTCTTGTTTCTTACCTTATCAGACACCTCAACATTTCGTTCTGAATACGTATAATAACATGTTGGCAATTTGCGACTGTGATTAACAGGAAGAATGTATGTGGAAAGCCCATTGCTTTTGATGACAATGAAGAAAGTGATACAGCTCTATCTCAGATGCAAACCTCAAGTCATCCACAATCTGTGGTAACATTCTGATAAATGTAATCAGCTGCTCATTCTCCTTTGTGCTGTAGTCTGCCTTATAAGTGATTAGTTGGTTTGTAATGTGGGTGATAGCAGAAATTGAATTACCAATCCCATTATAAACAGCTTTTGGTGGTAAGGCAGGCTGGCTAACAAGCGTGACAGCGCTTGCGTTGTACAAAAGTAATGGGTATTGGGCTATCGGAACTCATGTTCCGCGGACTTTTATTAATTTACTGTGCAAAGCACATTAATTTATTATGTTCTCATTCAAAGAACTATAACAAGCATTAAAGAATTTCTCTAAATGACGACCAAAGAAATGCGACAAGGAAACCTGATGAATCAAATCAAGCAGTGCTTGATATAAGTTTTAATCATAATTTTTTACCGGAAAAAAAAGGGAAATCACAAGTTTATATTGGATTTCATCCCCAGACGTGTATGTTGGCAGTATAAATCATATTTTTAATAGTTTATATAATTCTTATATTAAATTTATTTCTTAAATTGTTATCATTATTAATATCAGCATAAAGTAATTTATATTAGACTATACTAGTTATAAATTACGAATAATAATTCCTTTTAATTGTTCGGATTTTTTTTAATCTTTTTAATTTGTCTCCCATGTACTCTTCCGGTTCTTAATATAAAACTCATTTAACTAATTTGATTAGATTAAGAAAGTTAGGTAAGTTAGTTAATTATAAGAAAATTGACACATTTTTCCTAAAACACCATAATCATCTTTCTTAATACCCCATCTCTTTCTTTTACTTAATTATGATTGAGGGAGTATTTATAGGGGTAATTTAGATAAAATTGATAAATATGAGAAATGGGTCTTATATTTAGGATCAAAACCAACTCAAGAATTGGATCCTATATTAAGGACCGGAAGAGTATTTTATTTGATTCTATAACAAGTTCTAAATGCTAAAATTATATTTATTTGATTTTTATTTTGATCTTAAATATAAGATTTTAATTTTTTTTTTTATATTTATATTTTTTTTCTAAAATAGTTTTTCTAATAATAAGAATTCTAGTCAATACATTTGATAAGTAAGGATATTTTAGAAAAGATAACATCTATTTAGGATAAATAACTAACTCAACTTATTTTTTTAATTTTTTTAAATTAATCAATTGACTCTTATAATTATAATTAGTACGGAAGTAGTATAAATTTGAGAAAATCGCCGCCAAGCATCGTGAGGGTGCTTGAGAGGGAACTGGTTAGGGTTTTGAGGGAAGAAAGGGGACGAGTGGTCGGAAGCGGCAAGCTACATGTGGATACGAAAACCAACCTGAGGGGATCATGATGCTCTCTATTCAATAGTTTTCAATCTGAATTTTCATTATCTTGCTGCTCCCATTCTCCCCTTTCTCTCTCTCTCTTTCGGCGGAGTTCCCATAGCTCACACCTTGGACCTCGTGATGATGCGCTTCACATCTGAAGGTTCTGATTTCCGTTTATTCATCTCATATTAGTTTTCATCTCTGTTAGTCTGGTTATTCCGTGAATCTTTAACTTTGATTGGAGTTTTGTGGTTTTTGGGTGTGATTTTTGAGCAGAACGAACCCGAACAGGATGTTGATGAATCGTGTTGTGGAACTCTGATTCGTTTGTTGGCGTGCTTCGTGATAGGTTTAATTTCGCTGAAAGAACATGTGATCTTTTCTACCTTCCAGGGTTTTGTTTGTGGTTGTTTTAGTATTTTGCATTCTTGATGGTGAAATTTGGAGACTAATTAATTTGGTTGCATGCGATGAGGAAACTGAAAACTTAAAAATTTCGATTGGAGGAAGCTTAAAAAATTTCGATTGGAGGAAGCTTATTGTTGCGGTGAATTGTTGTTTATTTCACAAACAAGCTCTGGGGATGAGCTATGGATTGATTAGTTAAGAATGGACTTGTTACAGAAGAAGCGCAGGCAAAGGTCTGTTCCATAAAAGTGAAGCTGAAACAGGACATGTACACATGAAAGATGAAAACTAGCCATGCTACTTATTCCAAGCTTGCTAGCAATTTGGGGGGGAAAAAAAGAAAAGAAAGAAAAAGTAAGCATTATAACGAAGAAATGAATTTACAAACTTTACGAATGAAAATATTTCACTCCATATATCATTCAGATGACGCAAATTTGCAAGTCCACGAAATCCCCCTTATCAGCAAACATGAAATGGCTTCAGAAGCAAGAATAGACAAATGAGTGGAGGCTTCAAGGATAACACTTCACAGTACGGGAAATAATTCCACTCGAAGCTGGTTAAAAACTTTATTCATGTCTGTCTTCCAGTTCTATCGAACTTTTCCTTCACATGCTAGCTCCTTTAGCTGAATAATGTCTTCATTTCCCCCTCATGCAAATATAGAGAATTCGACTTATGTCGAGTTGTAAAACATGGAGGGGTGTGTGCATATATCAAAGTTCACTTTTTATATAATATTTGGACCTAATAAATATAGAAACTAAAATATTAATGTTTCATATGAATATATATGAAATAAAATGAAGTAGGGATCACATTAATAGTAGCATATATGAGCTCAGTTTAATTTTTGTATTTAAAAGTATCCAGATGTTTAAAAAATTAACAAACTAAACACCATCTAAGTAACTCTATGCTGTGACGAGTTGACAGAAATAATCACACTTTGGAAAGTTAGGGGATAAAAAGTTCGATCGCTCACAAATATAGGCTATAAGAATGTTTATTTTTTGGGCCATCAGTATATATAACCATATTGATGGGCATATTGTTAAATTGAAGTGGACAGATAGAAGTTCATACTACCGCTGGCATTTGATGTTCTTAAATATAAAGATTAGTTAAAAATTTTATTTAGTTCTAAATATAAAATTTTAATTCACCTTATTTTTCATATTTATTTATTTATTTCCTCAAAATAATACACATAGTAATTATATATGTTAAATGGTTTCTATACTAATAGACATGATACATAAGTATATTTTAAAAAAGATGATATCTATTTATTATAAATAATCAACTTAATTAATTTTTTTAATATTTATAAATTAATTATCTAGTTTTTATATAAAAACAGAGACAGTATTCTTGTCTGTTCAAAAGGAGAAGAGACTGTAAGGAACTGAAGTCCCGCATCGAATGCATCATATCAAACGCCAAGCTATAAAAGAGTGGAAAGTGGCTGAGATGGGCACGACCTTACTTGAACAGGATCTGTTCTATAGGCTCGTACCTCTGTGTCCTTGAGTATCAAGGAGACAAGATCCGCAACTTGGTTGATGACTTAAGACCAGGTGGCCAGAGCGTGATTATTGGTTCGGCTGACTCATGGTTGAGTCTGTCTGGCCGCAGAGGATCGTTCTCATGTAGTCTCTACGTGAGATGGCCACTTGGTTGTCTGACAAGTTCCCATTCTTTTTTTCCCATTTTCGTCTTGTTCGACCTTATTATACCGCCTCTACCTCAGTCAAATGCATCGTATGGTACTCGAAATAGTGGAAAGCAGCCTGGAAGGTCACGACCTTACTTGAACAGGTTAAATTACGACTTATCAGAATGAAGATATCAATAAGAAGAGTAGGAAGCATAGAAAAGTATGCAAAGAATATAATTGACATGAAGTTTTGAACTTTGAAACTTCCAGTTACGTAATTTGAACACAATTTTCGATCGACTTGGGAGCCTCTTTAGTTCATCTCTAAAGCTTAATATAATTGCCATGGCTCATCTTGCAAGTGGCCCAAGAAAAATTTGGCCTTGAAAATGACAAGTGAAAACAACAAGAAGCGGGTTCACAAAAGCCACGGAACAGTACACTTACAAATAAACCCAACCATCTAGAGTTTAACAAAATGGCCCAAACAAAAAAAAGCATAGAAGATCAGCATGGATCTCAAGAGCCAGCTGCCTGGCTTTGACTTGATCAGTACCTCTATAAGAACCAAATGAGATTGTTAGCCTAGACTTAAGTGTAGGCGACTTAGCTCTAAAGTGATCCTCTTTCTCATAGACACACCATGGTGGCGAAGGTGTATGGCCCTACCGGTGCTGCCACAAAACGAGTGCTCCTTGTTCTGATTGAGAAGGGCATTGAGTTTGAAACTGTCCATGTTGATTTCACTAAAGGTGAAAAGAGAAATCCTGAATACCTCAAATTACGGGTTCAACTGTCTCCTTCTTCCAAATGTTTTCCCCTTTTGGCTTCTGTAATCCATAATTTAGTGAAAGATTGATTTCTGAAACTTTATCTGAGTTCTGATTTGTACTCATTTGTTCATGTTGAGCAGCCCTTTGAAGTTGTTCCTGTGATTCAAGATGGTGACTATACCTTATATGGTTAGATTCTTCCATGTTCTGAGCTTTTTCTCAACCTGATTTTTCGATTCATAATGCTTGATTAGTTTGTTTTGTAACTCTTTAAGCACATCAATTTCTGGATACTAATAGTTTCTTTCTTTCTTGTTCAATCCCATATGAATCTGCAGAATCCAGAGCAATAATGAGATATTATGCAGAAAAATACAAATCTCAAGGAGTTCACTTGCTGGGGAAGATGAGAGAAGAGAGAGGTCTAGTGGAACACTAGAAGTTGAGGCACAGAACTTTCACCCATTTGCTTACAACTTAGTGATTCATATACTGTTTCCTTCAATATGTGGGGTCACAACAGATCCAAAGGTGATTGAAGAGAGCGAAGCTAAGCTGGAGAAGGTGCTTGACATTTATGAGGAGAGGCTCTCAAAGAGGAAGTATTTAGCTGGGGATTTCTTCAGCCTCGCTGATATTAGCCATCTTCCTTACACTGATTATCTAATGAATAATATGGGGAAGGAGCATCTGATAAACAAGAGGAAGCATGTCAGTTGTTGGTGCCAAGATATCAGTAACAGAGCTTCATGGAAGAAGGTTCTGGAGCATTACAGAGCTCCTATATAAGATCAATAAGTTACTTGAAACAGTGATTTGAGTGTGTTGTTAGAACAAATGTTGTGTTACTAACTTCATCAGTCCTGTGAGGATTGAGGAAAGTTATTGTCTGTGTAACCCACTAAGGTTGTGGAATGTGAAGGAGGTGTCAAGTCTCTGCAAATTTTATTTGTTGTGAGAATGTGGGTTTGTGATCTAGAAATGCAATAAAATTGTCCAATCTTTTTGTTCAGTCTTCATGTTTCCGTTTGTTTTATATATCTTGGGGGGCACAGGGCACCCACTGTTGTAGTGTTGTTACGTAACCTTGCTTTAAGCAAAGTTAATTGATTGGAATTGTACGTCTGGTAAAAGTTGTGGTTCCCAGACAAAGCAGTGCACTATATTTTGTCCCTGCTATTTTGTTTTCATTTGTTTTATATATAATACTCATAATGTTTATGTGTAAAACTGGAAACAAACCTTTAGACTAATAAATCTGTTTAGAAATCATTCAATTTGTATAAGATAAAATCAATTTTTCCCCATTAATCCAAACGAGTAATATTTATTAGAGATATGGTTGTTGCTAAGTTTGTGGAATGTGAAGGAGGTATCAAGTTGGCAAATTTCTTTTTCTATTCTATCTAGAAATGAAAAGAAAATGCTAATTCTTCATGTTAGAAATGTGAAACTATCTTTTGAATTTGTATGATTTTGAGAATTCACATTCTTGGTTTAGTCTCCTTATTTTATTTTAGAGAAAAATAATCATTGGATACCGCAGTTTTAATTCTTAAATTTTGACTGGATGCATACCAATTCTTATTGTTTTAACCATTTAAAAGTTAAATCTCTAAGTTTCATAAAATAAAAAAATATAATTAAATGGTTAAAATTAAAGAAACTAAGTTGTATTGAGTCAAAGTTCAGAAATTAAATTAAAACTGAGTCAAAATTATAAAGATTGAGTTGCCTTAAATTAAAGTGTAGAGATTGAGTTATAACTTAGCTAAAAATATAAAGATTAAAGGCTAATTTTCTCTTTATTTTATCATATCAAGATTCGAATATTAAAATTTTCATATATTGATGTCACTTACTCATGTCTTTTATTTTGGCCGACACATACTCCTGTGATATGAGTGCGTGGTTGGAATAAACGTTGTTATTAACTTCATCAACCCTGTCAGGATTGAGGAAAGTTAAGTGAGATTTAGAGACAAGGTTATTGTTTGTGCAACCCACTAAGGTTGGGGAATGTGAAGGAGTTATCAAGTCTGCAAATTTTATTTAGGAAAAATCTCATATAAATACTTATTTAATTCTAAAATTTGAAATAAGTCATTCTAATTTGCCATTTGAATATAAGTAATATAACTTCTATCTTAGGCCTACTAATTTTTGATAAATAATGTCACTTCAGTAGTCAATTTCATTGTATATGTAGTAAATTATGAAAGTTATTGTTATTATGTTTTTTATGATATTCTTCAAGTGTACTAATATGCTACTTTGCCAACACACTTTGGCCCTTGTTTAATTGCCCCAAGACTTCATGAAAATTGACCATGTGAATAGTATGAAAATCGTCAAATGTCTAAGAATGAGTTGCAAAAAGCATTATTAAAATAGTTGCTTACATTATGTAAGTTGTCATTCTTGTTACTTATTTTGTAAAATATCATGTGAATAACTAAAAACAAGTTGTAAAAACCATTATGCATTCGGTGACTTTTATTATACAAGTTGTTATTCCTCTTGTTATATATTTAGTAAGTTTGTTTGCAAATAGATTAAAATTGGACTGCAAATAAAAATGTTGCAAATCCCTTGATAGAAATGGTAACTTGCATTACACAAGTTGTCATTTCTATTACTTCTTTTGTAAAATACTATGCAAATTACTTAAAACATGTTGGAAAAATCATTATGCAACTAGTATAACTTTCATTACACACAAGTTTTTGTTCCAATTACATATTGAGTAAAAAATTTTTAAATGAATTATGATTGGGTTGCAAACAAATAAGTTGCAAATCCTCAAATGAAGATGCTTACTTGTATTACACAAGTTGCCATTTCTGTTACTTGGTTTGGTAAAATAAACTGATGAAGATTTAATTTGGAGTTTCTAAATTCGAAACCAAGAAAAAAAACTATTACAAGACGTGGGAGGAGAGAGGTGGTTAATTTTTGGTTGCATACGATGAGGAAATTGAAAACTTAAAGATTTTGATTGGAGGAAGCTTATTGTTGTGGTGAATAATAGTTTATTTCACAAGTTCTGGGGATGAGCTATGGATTGATTAGTTAATAATGGACTTATTATAGAAGAGCAGGTTATCTGGCAGGGTGCTAAGAAAACCATTTCTATCATAGCAGGCAAGGAAGGAACTACTCCATAAAAATAAAAGTGAAGGTGAAACAGGACATGTAAACATGAAAGGAAGAAAACTAGCTATGCTAATTATTCCTAGCTTGCTATCAATTTGATTAAAAAAAGAAGAAGAAGAAAGGGAGTATTATAATGAAGGAATAAATTCACAAGCTTATTGTGTTGTAGCCAAATACCTGTTGATTTAAATGACGACTTGTGAGAACGAAGATACCAATAAGAAGAGTAGGAAGGATAGAAAAGTATGCAAAGACTATAATTGATTTTGATGGTTTTGAAGCGTCCAGTTACGTAATTTGAATGCAAATGGCCCAAGAAAAATTTGGTCTTGAACTGATTGGTGAAAACAACAACAAGCGTGTTCATAAAAACCACGGAAAACTCACAAATAAACCCACACATCTAGAGTCTAATATAATGGCCCAATTAAGAAAAAGACAACAGATCAGCATCGATCTCAAGAACCAGCCGCTTGGCTTGATCACTTGATCACTTGAGAGAGAGCAACCTCTGATCTGTATCCCTATAAGAACAAAACGAGAGTCCTTGCCTAAACTTAAGTTAGCTCTAAACTAATCCTCTTTCTCATAGAAACACCATGGTGGTGAAGGTCTATGGCCCTATCTGTGCTGCCACAAAACGTGTCCTCCTTGTGCTGATTGAGAAGGGCATTGAGTTTGAAACTGTCCATGTTGATGTCACTAAAGGTGAACAGAGAAATCCTGAATACCTTAAATTACAGGTTCAACTCTCTTCTTCCTCCAAATTTTTTTCTCTTTTAGGTTCTGTAATCCATAGTTTACTGAAAGATTGATTTCTGAAACTTTATCTGAGTTCTGATTTGTACTCATTTGTTCATGTTGAGCAGCCCTTTGGAGTTGTTCCTCTGATTCAAGATGGCGACTATACCTTATATGGTTAGCCTAGCCTCTTCCATGTTCTTAGCTCTTTCCCAACATGATTTTTCTATTCGTAATGCTCGATTAGTTTGTTCTGTAAGTCTTTAATCACGTCAATTTCTCCATACTAATAGTGTCTATCTTTCTGGTTCAATCCTCGATGCATCTGCAGAATCCAGAGCAATAATGAGATATTATGCAGAAAAATACAAGTCTCAAGGAGTTGACTTGCTGGGGAAGACGATGGAAGAGAGGGGTCTAGTGGAACAATGGCTAGAAGTTGAAGCACAGAACTTTCACCCATTTGCTTACAACCTAGTGATTCATATACTGTTTCCTTCAATATTTGGGGTCATACCAGATCCAAAGGTGATTGAAGAGAGCGAAGCTAAGCTTGAGAAGGTTCTTGACATTTATGAGGAGAGGCTCTCAAAGAGCAAGTATTTAGCTGGTGATTTCTTCAGCCTCGCTGATATGAGCCATCTTCCCTTCACTGATTATCTGGTGAACAATATGGGGAAGGAGCATCTGATAAAAAAGAGGAAGCATGTAAGTGGTTGGTGGGATGATATCAGTAACAGAGCTTCATGGAAGAAGGTTCTGGAGCATTACAGAGCTCCTATATAAGATCAACAAGTTACTTGAAATAGTGAAATGATTGTGTGGTTAGAATAAATCTGTGTTATTAACTTCATCAGTCCTGTGAGGATTGAAGGAAAGTTATGTGAGATTTAGAGGTGTGGTTATTGTCTGTGTAACCCGCTAAGCTTGTAGAATGTGAAGGAGGTATCAGGTCTGCAAATTTCATTTTTCTATTCTGGGTTTGGTGTTGTGATCTAGAAATGAAATAAGAATGTTTATTCTTCTTATTAGAAATGTGAAACTAGCTTTTGAATTTGTGATGTTGAGAATTGACATGTTTGGTTCAGTCTTCTTATTTTATTTTAGACAAAAATAATAATGTTTGGTTCAGTTTTGACTCGGTTGTAACTTAATGTCTAAACTTTAACTCGGTGTAACTCAATTCTTAAATTTTAACTCAGTTGTAGCTTAGCTTTTGAATTTTGACTCTATGCATCTCAATCCAAATAGTTTTAACCATTAAAAAGTTGAACTTGAGTTTCATAAAAGATATTATTTTTTTTTTTCAAAAAAACATATATTTAAATGGTTAAAATTATAAAGATTAAGTTGTATTGAGTTAAAGTTAAAGAACGACATCAAGGAAATGTGGAAATCCATCATCAAGCCTCCCTTACATAACTACTTCTTCTCGGCGCGCCTTAAGGAATGGGTTGAGTTAAACATGAAACGCAATGTGTGTCAGACTTAAGGGGCCTGGAAAGAGTTATTCATCATTATATGCTGGCTCATTTGGTTTGACAGGAATGATCGGATCCATAATAATTCTTGCCAGGAGATATCCAACCTTGTTGCTAGAGCCACGGCTATTTTGGGCAGTATGACAAGGGCACAGTCTATAATGCTGCCTGCGCAGGAGTCCTTAAAAAGAGTAGTGGGAGCATCATTGAAGGATTTCAATCTAAACTTCCTAGGGGGATGCTCTCTCTGCAGAAATATGGGGCTGTCTTTTAGGCCTCAAAAGAGCTTGGGATTGTGGCCTTAGAAATGTTAGACTGAGTAGCGACTCCCAGGAAGCTTTAGGCCTCTTTCTAACTGAACCCTCGGACCTTCATGAAGATTTGAACCTGATTTTAGAAGTCAGAGATATGCTGCAGAGGGATTGGAAGGTCGATCTGCATTATTTCCCAAGAGAAGAGAATAATACAGCTGACATCTTGCGTGCTTTGGCAATGAGTGTGGCCATGCAAATTCTTAGTCCTGGAGCAGTCATGCGTTATGTACAAGAAGACACCGGAGGCTAGCCTCTTTAGTTTGCTCTCTTGTATTTTGTTATATTCGTTTTCCAGTATATCCAAAAAAAAAAAAAGGCTAAAGAACTATAGGAATTAAATTCTTCTGGGTTAAGGTTAACTGAATAAAAATATAGGGATTAGAAGAATAATTTTTCTTTTGTTTTATCATATCAAGATTCGAATCTTAAAATTTTCATATATTGATGTCACTTACTCGTGTCTTTTTCTTCTCAAGTAAGATATTTTATTTTTGGTCCAAAAAATAATACGTTTTTATATATTTTTGGGTCAATTTGAGTTGGTGGGAGCTCTGGGTGGGTAGGAGGTAAGCTATTTCCATTTTTCCACTGTGATTTTAAAATATAATATTATTCCAATCGTGGTGGCCTCCTTTTTTGAAAATTTTCCTTTTCTGTTTGTTTAATCCTCCGTGTTTTGTATTCCAAATCATCAACACATTATTGGTGGAAAATAAACATAATTGATGCCATTGTCCCAGCAATATTTCACTATTTTACTAGAATGTCACTTTTAGGACTAAAGAAACCATGATTAAATATTTCTATTGCCCAGCAAATAAATAAAGATAAAACCAAGACTTCAATCATGACTCGTGACCCCAAGGTCAAAACAAAAAATCATGACTCGTGAACATAGAATGTTATGATGATTCTTGGATATTATTCAAGTATTCTTAAGCCGGCCCCATATATAAATAATTTAATTATACATATACTCCTAGTATAAAGAAGGAAAAATCGGAAAAAAAACTGCTGAAATAGAAAAATTACAAATCAGGACTCATTATAATATTAGTATGGATTTTAACAACAATAGTATGGGTTTTGACAACAATTTTTATGAACAGATCCTTGTGTGTAATTTTTCAATTTCAACGGTTTTTTTTTTGTGATTTTCCCTATAAAGAATCTCTTAACTATTTGTATTATTGTCCTTTATAACGCTGCTATGATTAAGTAAAAAAGAAAAGAATTCTGGGACCTCCTAATGTTTTATTGCATTAACGAATCTGTGTCTCCTATATTTTGGGACAACAAATTCTGGATTTAAAACAAAATAAGTGATGAAAATTTATGATTGTAATTTTCGACAGTTGAGTTAGCAGCCTAGGTGAGAAAAAATGTGTATAAACATTAAATGTAAATAAATAGGATAAGAAAGGCACATATTATTTGAAGGAAAATAAGGGGTAGATGGGGGGGGGGAACAACATGGTTTTAGAAGAAATATAATTCAATAAAATGTTGATGGCCGTTGAAAACAAATGATTCTTTTCTCTATGAAGGAATACTGCAGGTTTTAGATTAAGAATTTCCAACTGTACTTATGCTAATGAATGCCCCAATTGCTACGCCAGAATCTGAAGAAAAAACAAAGAAACTTGATTCATCAATGTTCCCAACCCACCACATACACAGCAATCAACATCATCGGTTTGATTTACTTGTTTTTTTGGATTGTCTGCTTTTTTGAATGACTTAAACAAGGGCAGAAAAATCTCTCGTTGCTATGAAATTTACTCGTTTTCACACCTTTAAAAGTTGACCATAAAATTCTAGAAGTTCAATTTCCGGGAGAATATGGGCTTGCTTGGATCAGTGTTTTATAAATACTTATAAATACTTTTACATAATTCAAGATAAAACTTTATAACATACTTATTTCATATTCTATAAATCCTGATTGAAAAGCTGTTTTTTAAAGGAGCCCTGCATCTTTGTCTTTTTTCTTTGAATTTTCACACACACCACTTGAAAAAAAATAATGAATACATCCAGGGGGAAGAATATCATCCAATTATCATCACGGTTTCTCTTTTGTTAAAAAAAAAGGGAGAATGACAAAAAAAGATGCTTGAAATTACAAATCCTAAATTAGGTTTGGTAACACAATTTTATTTGGTTTGACAAGTCTGAATTTGTAAATGACAACAAATTTTTGTTGACATTTCTTATTTGATATTTACAAAATTCTAGCTTTTTTTTTTGTCATTGTCTCTAAAAAAATGCTATACGAATTAAAAAAATAAAAAAAGCAGTCAATATAGGGGAAAAAAAGGAAAAGGGGGCATCATTCCCATTCAGTGATAGGAGGAGGCTTGGACATAATGTTTTGCACAACCCGATTTACAACTGGCACACTGTTACAAACTTCCCTGCAACATCATCCAGGAACTTGTGCTCAAACTAGTACCTGACAAAACAAACACCATTTAGTTTCCTGTCATAAATAAATAAATAAATGGGGAAAACCCAATACTTAATTTGTTTCATTTAGTGACGTATTAATTAAATTAAAGATTGACTTGTACCAGCTTCTTTTATGGAGAATTTCAGTAAAAGACCACATTATCATGTTTAAAAAAAATCAAGAAATTCTGAAATCTCAGTTCAGACTTTGAGATTTGAAATGAAAATAAGCTGAAAAACAGAATGTCCAAAATAAACTTAAGGCAACCCAAAAAAAAAAAAAAGACGGGTGTATCAGGGTCAAAAAAAAATCCTTACAATAATGGGGTGTCCGCCATGTGCCCACTGTTGAGTATTATTAGTGTGTGTATATATTTTACAAAATAAATGTAAGTATGAATGCACAGATAAAATAAGAAGATTAACAGCGAAAGTTAGAAAATTTATTAAAAATATACGAGAATTCATAGTATCATTTAGGGTTTTGTATAGAGAAAAATATAAGTGCCAAGATCTACATGAAAAATTGGAATAAGAAAATTTATAAAAAAAAGATGATTTATAAAAAATTACAAAATTAACAACAACGTATAAGAAAATTAACAATAAAAATTAAGCTATTTACAAAAAAAAATTAACAACAAAAATTAGGCTTTATGTATCTTGTAAATCACCCAATTGTATTATAAATCCTCTTAAGTTAAGTAATTTATAAGAAATATAAGGGAGTTAACAACCACATGTAAGGGAATTAACAACAAAAATTAGGCTCTATGTATCTTGTAAATTGCTAATTTTTGTTACAAATCCTCTTATGTTCCTTGTAAACCTCTAATTTTTGTTGTTAATTCCCTTACTTGTATTGTTAATCAACTAATTTTTGTTGTTAATTTTCTTATGTTTCTTGTACTTACCTAATTTTTATTTTTAATGCCTTTATAAGTTGTCGTTAATTTTCTTTTTTTGTTTGTAAATAACCTAATTTTTATTATAAGTTTTCTTATTTCAGTTGTTTATATAGACCCTTGGCATACATTTTTCCTCTATAGAATCTAAATGGTATTGTGAATTTTCTTGTATTTCTTGTAAATTTTCTCATTTTTGTTGCTAACTTTTTATTTCACCTATTTATTCATACTTAGATATTTGTATTTATTTTGTCATATGTTTTTTCTTATCATATGATTAAATGGATCATATGGCAAAAATATAATCACATTTCACCAACAAAATTATGTCTATGAAAAATGAAAATTTGGTTATTAACAAGAATGCATGGGGGTGATGGATTTGTCCTAGTTAGTTATTTTAGTAGGCCGTGATTGATTAGGGTTAAACGGTATGAGTTGAAAAGGCATGTATAACGGCAGGTTGGCTGAAACTTGCCATGATGGGCTAACAGGTTGGCGGGCCAATCTACCAACTATTTTTAATTTTTTTTCTCATATGATATAAAGAAAATATAATAAAATATTTATTTTTCCTTGAAATACTTGAGAGCATGAGGGGGCTACTAAATTGATATCAAATAAATGATATTAATATTTTTTAATTTATTAGATAGGATATAAAATATAATAATATGATTATAATAATTAATTTTTTTTAAAAAATATAGGTTATGGGTTAAATGGTACAGATTAAACAATTTCATTTATTGGTAGGTTGATTTTAATCAACCCTGATCTGTTATTTTTGGTGAGTTGGTAGGTTACACCTATGAGTCCAATCTATATTACTAGCTCTAACTTTGACTAGGCATGCTAATTCTTTTTTCCCACTATGGTTTTAAAATACAGTATTAAAGATGCAAATGAGTCTTTTGCTCCCAAAAAAAAAAAAAGAAAGATACGTA